AGCTTTGGGTATGGTACATTTATGTTGACTGGGAGACATTCAGATAAATGACAAAAAAGTATAATATATAAGAAAAAATTGATAACTTGGACTTCACCCAAATTAAAAACTTTTGCTATATAAAAGACTCTGTTAAGTGGGTGAAAAGACAAGCTACAACTGGGAGAAATCATTCACAAATCACATATTTGACAAAGGACCTTGAGTACATAAAGAACTCTTAAAACAATCCATATAGAAAATGGGCAAAAGACTCAAAGAGCAATTTGACCAAAGAGAATACACAGATGGCAAATAATTATATGAAAAGATGTTCAACATCATTAGTCAGAAGGGAAATGTCAATTAAAACTAACAGGTGAGTAGTTAAACAAACAATTTATTTTATACCATGAACAAACCAATGGATTGTTGATACGTGCAACTTGGATGAATCTCCAGAGGATTAATATGAAGGAAAAGAGCCAGGTCCAAAAGGTTACACACTGTATGAATCTATCATGATTAACAAAATTATAAAAATGAAGAACAGCTTCATGATTGTCAAGGGTTAAGGATAGGGTGGGGTGGGATGGGGAGGTAGTGGATATGACCATACAAATGCAACATAGGGGACCTACAGTGATGGAAATGTTCTGTATCTTGACTGAATCATTGTCAATACTCTGATTATGATATTGTACTATAGTTTTGCAAGATGTTTCCACTAAGGAAAACTGTGTAAAGGGGACATGGATCTATTTTTACTATTATAACTAGATGTTTATCAATAATTACCCTAAAATTAAATGTTTAATTTTAAAAAAAGCTCTCAGGCTTTTGGACAAAGCTAGATGACTTTGGATAAGTCACTTCCCTTGTCACAGGACTAAAACAATTAAATTAAGAGGCTAATGGTCTAGGCATAGACCAGAACATGGTTCAACTTAAAAGGGTAAGTAGTCTTTAAGTCACAGCAGTAGGGAGAGAGGAGTGGATATCAGGATATTTAGACGATAGCACCGATAAGTTTTGGTGAAAGATTAGATGAAGGATAGTAGATGGCAGAGAGTCCAAGATGATTGTCAAGTTTCTCATTTGAGTAAATGGGTAGTTAGTTGCATCATTTAGTGAGCAGATGTGGGGTGAAGAAGAGAGGAATGAAGAATTTAGCTTTGGTTGTGGTGTGTTTGTGCTGACTTGGGGACCTTGAGATGGAGATGCTTAGGTAACTGTTGGATATGCAAGTCTGAGTTGAGAACACAACTCTGGTATGGAAATTTAATTTGATAATGACCTGTATCCAAGTGATAACCAAAGCCAGGACAATGGGCAAGATTGCCAAGGGGGGAGAAACTACAGAGCCACTATCACTGTAAAGGAGCTCTAAGCTTTAAGGAGGGCACCAGTAAAAGAGAAAAATCAGGCATAAATGATGTTGCTTAAGATAAGATGTTTCAAGGAAGAGTGAATAGTTAACTGGGATCAACAAACGAAGAGATTAATTAGAAGGAGGAGTGAAAAATCATCCTTTGAATTTCGTGACCTGGGTTGTCATTGCTACCTTTACAAGAAGAGCTTGGTGAAATGACAATGTAGGTTTAAACAAGAGTAGACTGAGAAGATGGAAGAAATGAACACAGTTTAGCCCCTAAGAAGAAAGCATGGTGAGTGGGTTAAGTTATGCTGTAATGTTAATGGAAAGGAATAGGTAGTAAGAAGTTGAAGATTAATGACAAAGGGTAAGAATTGCCTGAGTAGGTAGGAAAGAATATGATCCAAAGTACAGGTAGCAGAATTAGCTCAGATAGTAGGAGTACCTCATCTATTCCAAGAGGCAAAAAGGAAAGGAACCATGTGGTTAAATTTGGAAATTTAGTGGTAGTATGTACAGATAGCTCAATTACCCTTGTGAAGGAGAAGGCAAGGTCATCTTTTAAGACTAGAGGGATGAATTAGTTTTCATTCCAAGAACATAATACAGTGCCTGGAACACACATACTTAACAAATTTATTTAATAAATTAAAAAAAAACCTATTGTTTCACTGGTGCAGCTGTTCAGTAGAACCAATACACGACTTTCTTTGAATTAGCCACTAGGGGGCAGTGCTGATGCCAATCTTCTTTCTCCCTAAATCCTTTAACACAATGAAATTAATAGAAAACTATAGAGTACTGTATGTTGTATAATGTCTTTTTCTCCAACAAAATCCCATTTAAGTGCTACACATATATACAGGTGTGTGTTCATACATGAACACACAAACCCTGGGGCCTGATGGGAGGGCTGTTTTTTAACATAACCATATCATGATACCCTGGGTACACAGATTTTTCCAGCAATTTTTTGTTTTGTTTTGTTTTTTTGTAGTTCCTCCAGGACACACAACAAATACCCAATAGATTTTTTTTAACACTTTCTTATGATTAATCAATTACAAAATGCAATGAGGAAAAAAATCCTGATATTTGTCAGTTTTTTCCACTTGTTTTTCCTCTCTATACCTTCCCCTCTCCCCAAATCAAATGAAAGGTAGGTTTTTACAAACAGCTTTAAGTAATTGTAATGTACTTCATAAATTACTTTCCTGCCTCATCTCGTAAGAATGCTTGATGCATTCTGAAAATGAAGATTTGTCAATCTACAATACCATGTGCCTATTTTGTATACCAGAAGCAGCAAGTATCTGGTGGCATGTGTTTCGCAATGGGTCTGGAAAATACTTCTAACTTTGGTGCTAATGAATTTGGGCCTCTAACCAATTGAAGAAAGTGACAGAGTTCTAATGTAAGGTACAGAAACTTTCCAATGAAAAGTAGATGTAAAGGCGGAGTGTTTCCGCCAGAAGTTTACAGGTTATGCAGATTGCTGTTTCAACCAGGTGAGCTGAACTTCCATGGTGGGAGAGGCTTCCAGTCACACCAGAGGAACACATCACATCCCAGCTTAAGAAAAGCTGTTGCTAAGTGGGTGGAACAGCAGCCACAGGTAGAGACAGAGAGGCTGAGGTCATCACATGACTCTAGGGTGTTATGTAGTTTAAGTGGGTGAAAAACTTGTGTGACACAAAAGTCTCTCAACTTGGCTATTTTGAGCCGAAGTTGTTCTAGAACAAAAATACCCAAGAAATGGGTCAAAAGGGTCTGGGAGATAAGAGTTGAAACAGTCATTAAGGTAGAAACAGTGTCAACTTTCCAAATTGTTTCAAAAACAGTTTCAAGGTTCTCCACCTAGTATTGTAATTTGAAAATTAAGGGCTACATTTTTTGTTACTGGACACTCTATTCCACTACTTGATATGGTATCTACTTTTATAGATAATTTTTGAAGCTCGTTGAGATAAAGATTTTTTTTTTTTAAACAGGTATAGGAGTCATTTACTTCCATTTCCTGCCTAGGGAGCAGGAAATGTTTCTCTTTCCTTCAGTTCTCTGTACTTCATTCTGCTATACTAAAATAAATTCTTGCTAAAACTTCAAAAAAATAGGTACAAAAATGTTAATGGCAAAATACTCAACTTTAATAAAATAATTCAATTTTCCTAATGACAAAATACAACCTTAAACAAGAGAAAAAATTCTTTCTTAGTAATTATAATACTTTGTATCCACACCCCAAAAGTGAGATAAACACTCACCCCTATTATGTTTAATCTATGTCCACTTTTAAAACCGTGCTAAAACCTTAGATTTTTTTCCCCAGCGGAATGATCTAAGTAAGAGCCTGATTTCATTGCTACACACACTCACACTCCCCAACAACAACACTTCCTTTGAAAAACAGAATGTCACTTCCTCAGTCCAGAGGCCAGAAGTCCCTTGATTCTGATCTGGGGAGCACAGACAGGAAACTCTGGTAGGCTTCTGCCCCCCTGACCAGCCACTGGTGCAGCTGGCAGAGGGCAGGTCTACTCCCAGCTGCCTTGATGCACTGCAGCTGGACGGCAACGACTCCCTTCCAGGGTGTGGGAGTGATTCCTGAGAGTCCAGCGCCCCAAGTTAGTGCAACAAGGGCATTTCATGGGAAGGGAAGAGGGAGAAGATGGGGATCTTGACGGCTCTAGAAGCCCTACTTCCATTTCTAAACTCCGGGGGCTATCCCAGGACCGATTTCAGCTACATCTCAGTGACCAGCACCATCTGTACTTTGGCCTCACCAGGCAAGCAAGGCATCCTTTGAGGTGCCTCCTTGCCGCTCAGCACCACCCTCCCCTGATGCTGCCAGCTTCTCACCTATCGGAGAGGCTAGCCAGCAATGTCAATAAACACTGCCGGTCAGCACCACCTGGCAATTGCAAACCCTCACCTTTCTGACCCCAGACACCCAAGGGCTGCCCAACACAAAACGCGGGCCACTTACAGTGGACCAAACTGCAGTGTCACCCTCGGGGAGCGGAGGGGGTGTATGCGAGAGACACACAGAAGAAAGGGAGAGAAGGGGGACAAACAAATGAGTCACTTAATACAAGGGCTGCACATGTCGCTGACGCTGCCCGTGATGCAGCGGCTGTGGACTGGAAGGAAGCCGGCGGCCACCCGGGAGGGGCGGGCGGCCAGAGAAAGGGAAGGGGAGAGGGTGTGCGGCGCCTCGCCCTTTGTGGGGCCCCACAGCGTACGCCCCTTTCCCACACCCGGCAGGCTGAATCCGCTGGGGGTGACCGTGCCCCCCCCCACAGGCCCGGGAATCAACTCTCTCGGTCTCCGAAGACAATCGATACAAACTTCGATACCGTATTTAGTTCACCGCAAGGCTGGCGGGGAGGCGCGGCCGCCTGGCCGGCCCGAGCTGCGCCTCGCCCCGCCGCCCCGCCCCTCGCGGCGCACCTGTGACAGGTGTGCAGGTGCCCCACACGCCCGAGCCTCGGGGCACGCCGCCCGCGCTCGCCCCCCGAAACCCCGGGGCCCGCCCTGCCCGCCACGCGCCCCGGAGCCCCCCACCCTCGGCGGGCCGCCCTCGCCCCCACCCCCCGGCCAGCCCACCAGCCCTCGGCGGCCGCGCCCGTCCGCTGCCCGCACTCACATAGCGCCTCAACTTCTTCTCGGGGGGCGATTTCCTCAGCCAGCCGGTGCACACCACGTCGCCGCCGCCGCTCATTCTGCCGGCCGACTGGAGCCCGCGGCCGGGGCGCGCGGACAAGGGCGCGGACGCGGGCTGCTGGGTCAGCCGGCCGCCGGTGCGCAGCTCGCAGGGGAGGGGAGGGAGAGGAGGGAGGGGAGGGGAGGGGAGAGGAGGGGAGGGGCCGGGCGGACCGCGGCCCCGGGCGAGGACGGGCGGCGAGGCGCGGGCCCGGCGGTGAGGCGCGCGCCCGCGCACGGCGCGCTCACTTGCCGCCCGCCCGGCGGGGGCGCCCGGCAGGAAGGCCGGCTCGCCACGCCCACAGCCCGCGCGGCCGGAGGGCGGCCCTCTCCCACCAGGCCCAGGGCGGGAGGACGCGGAAAGCTGCCACTCGTAGCGCGCCCTCTGGGGCTTGTTTTTCCCTCGGAGCCTCAGGCCCAAGCAGAGGTGGGGGACCTCGCCCCTGGTAGTGGTGGGGGACTGTGGAGGGAAGATGCCGCGCACCCGAGATTGCACATCGATTTTTCACCGAGGGTCGTCAGGAAAGGGCTCCCAGGGCTGCTCGAGTTTCCTATCCATTCCCAGAGTGTCAGGTTTCAGCAGGTCAGGTTCTGGCTGAAACTACTGACCTGCTTCCCTGCAAGAGTTTCATTAACTCTCACACCCCCTTGGCGGAAGAAGGGAAGAAGGAAACAGATCTCCCACGTGCAGGAGGTCAGGGGTGGGGTGGGTGCATTCATGGGCTACACGATTGTCTTCGCGTGTTTGTTAACTGGGCAGCAGTATATCCCCATTTTACAGACGGCCTGAAGTCCCAGAGCTAATACAATGCAGAGCCTTTTCCAATTTAGGTGTGAGGGGATGGGGGGGCGGTTGGGTCCTGTTCACCTGCTTTTCAAAGTGGGGGAATTGCTTTAAAGTCTGCAGATCAACTTGGGGCCTTATTGCCAGGAAACAAAGCCAGCTGCCTCCCTCCCACACTGCCTCTGGGAAAACAATTCAGAAGGAAATTCGTTTGTATGGTTCGCAGAATCCAGGAGGCGAAAATTAGTAAATGTATTTCGTAGTGAACTGGAAGGCAAGGTGGTGTAGAAGAGCAAGAAACTGCCATTGAAATCCCCAGAGCTCCAACTCATTGACTCCATGTAATTTAGGATATAATACCTTTCTCAATGCATTGTGGTGAGGTTTAACTGATGAACTATATGGAAGCACTTACTCCAGCACTTCAGGGAAAGGGTGAAAGAAAAATGAAAACAAACTCGTGGTAGGAGCTCTTTTTAACTCACTAAGTGCCTTTACCATCAGCAGGGAAAGGCTGGTCCTCTAAGTCTCTAGTAACCCATCTTATCAGTGGGCTGCAGATGAGTTGGAGAAGCAGCGTCTTGCCCCTATGTAACCTTAGATGAAGGCTATTTTGTTTACTTCTCTGCCTCCATGCAGCTAAGCTAGTTGTTCCAAGCAGTTGGACATACTTTGGTCTAACAGATCTTGGGTTAGAGAAAGTTCAGCCCTCCCCAATTACTTTGGAAAAGTCAGCCCCCTACCAGGAGCTCAGCTTTTCTAGGCACTGGGAGGTGAGAGACCAACTCCCCAGAACACCCTCCCCTCCCCCATTTCACTGACCTGCTGTATAGAATGTAAAGCAGAACTATTTGGCTACAGCTGGGACCAGAGCTCCTTTAACCTTTTAACTTAGGGATTATTTTTTAAATTTAATTTAGGGATTCTTAAGCTACATACAAATGGTCATTTTAAACTTCTGGCTTTAAGTACCTTAAACTCTTTGTGAGACATAAATATCAAAATACTTAGTTTGCCAAATCAATCAGGAGGCAGTGACTCCCAACCAAAATAAAGCAATCCTGACTTCATTCACATCTGAGTCATTGTGCCAAGTCTCCGGGATTGCAGTCTGAGAAATCTGCCTGGTTTGGCTGCAGCTGATGTTTTGTGATGAAATTCAGGCAGACATATGCCCTACCATTCCCTGGGAGAGTTGTCTTTTACATATCCTTTGAGAGTTATATGATTCAAGACACAGTCTCAGCAGTTAGTTGGGGTTAGGTTGCATTCTGCCAGAAACTATTTAGGGTCTGATTTTGTTTAGCAAGACCTGGGGTTGTTATTTACAATTTCTCTTGGAAACAAAAGTTTGGTGTTTTGTGATCAATGACAGGAGAAGCCTCAAAACACAACAGTTACAGAGTATGGACTTCAGGAAATCTTTTGAACATCCCTCATCCTTCCCCAAAGTTTAGAGAAAGGGGTCTTTCCTGTCCTTGACTCCCACCCTCCATTTCTCCTCACTATGCTGCCCAGCTCAGGCTGCACACAGGAAGCAACACTGCCATTGAGGTCCCTGGCTGAAGTAGCTCAGTCTCCTGAGTCTGAGAGGCGTGCCAGGCCTGGAAAGAGCACTTGGACAGAACGTTCCTGTCTGGACCTTTACTAGGTCCTCTTCACTCCCTGCTGTTTTTTCTTTCCTCCTTCTCCTTGGAAAAATGGAAAACAAATTATGTGAATGAGTTATTTACACGAAGGTGGGCGCCATCTATTGGCAATAGCTGGAGTGGCAGCCCTCTCACTAGCCTGTAATTTAGCCAATTTTGATTAAAGATCACTGGTATTTCCTGAGGGTAATTAACGACTGGCTCCAAGAGTGCTTTGAAACATTAATTCTATGGTCCCATTAAATTCCCAGGAAATGACCATGCTGTGGGGAGGGCACAAGGTGGAGATTAGAGAAATGCACACCTGGGGGAGAGCACGTGTACCACTTCTGTCATGCTGCCAGTTCCCCCCTACTCCCTCCACAAAGCCTGAGTTCTAAAGGGTGCAGTTGTCAGCAACAGCCTGCATCCGTGCCTGTCTCAGAGTTGAGGGTTTGTGGCCAGCAGCAGGTGCATGGCTGGTGGAACGCACCCAGGAATGGGTTTGGGAGGGCTGGAAAGAGCTGTCCTCAACTGCACACCAGGCTGGAGTGATTAATACCATTCACGCCAGGCCTGACGTCAGCGATTGAACTGGGGGTGGGGGATGGATGTCCTCACCCTTCTGCCTTTTCTCCCCTTCAATTTAGTTGGCAGGTTAATTTCAGAGCTGAGTGTTGCTTGCCAAAGTCAGTGTGACTAGCTGAGCCACCTCAGCTGGTGACTTTCAGGACATTCTCACTTCTCGGGCATATGTGGTAGGTGCCTCCTGTCTGCTTTGAGCCCACTTTATTCCACCAATGGGTGGAACTGAATTACCCTCAGACAGGTACTCAAGACAACTCTTGGCACCTGGTTAAGGATGAGTTCTGGAATGGGGTTTGGGGTGTGTTAAAAACCTAATTGGTCTTCTTCCCTGTTGGTGGCTGCTAACAGTCTGAGTTACTTGACACTACACCAAGTAGGAAGCATTTTGGAAACCAACTTCCTTAAAATGTTTGCGAAAGTGTACTTTTCCAATTTCTCCTTTGTCAATAACCAGAACCAGTGTTCATTGCTTTGTGGCAGTGAGGATCCCAAGACAGTGGTGAGGGTGGGAACAACACTGTGGCACAGATCATTCTGCAAACTCAGTCATATTCTCCCAAGAACAGACTGTCAAGATGTTGGGAAAGCACCTTAGTACACCAAACCAAAAGGTGCATGCTGCTTCTTCCTTGCTCTGCAGAGAACCCTTAAGCTGAATTAGATCTTGAACATAGGTCAAGACTCTTTCCCCTAGAGCTTAAAATCCCTCTGTATTGCAAATATTTACTTGCTAAGGAACTGCGAGTTCCTTGAGGGCAGGACTGCAGCTTCCTCATTTTTGTATCCCTAGAGCTTCCCAGTAGTGAGCCAGGCACATAATAGGTGGAATAGATGGCCATTACATGTTTGGGGTGAGAAATCATCCCTTAAAGGATGCGGGAGGGGGGAGCTTGAGGTGTGGCTCAAGTGGTAGAGCTCCTGCCTTGCTAAGAGCTAAGCCCTGAGTTCAAACTCCAGTTCCACCTAAAAAAAGAAAAAAAAGATGGGGGTTGCACAGTGGACCACTGGAACATCCAGAACTCCAAGCCATCCTACCAGAGAACAGTAGCTGAAGGCTTTTATAAGCAGCTAGAGTGGTTACACCAGAGCCACCTGTCTCAATGGAAGGGCTGAGTAGGTGGACGGAGTCCTATGTGGTTCCACTTTTAAAGATGGCTGTAGGGCTAGAGTTGTAGTTCACTGGTGGAGTGCTTACCTACCTAGCGCAGCACTGCAAATAGCTGTAATTCTTGGGGAGTTTCAAAAATCAATGGCTCCTCTGACCTTTTGACTTCGACCCCCAGGCTCCTGAGAACTAATTCAGTTAACCCTTGTTTTCCCAAACCCTGACACCCTGGTACAGACTTCTCAGATTACTTCCTCTCTGGAACCAAGAATTGAATCTTTGTGGCTTCTCTGACATTTGCCTTCACTGTGACAGTCCTGCTGGAGCTCTAATACTGAACCCCTTGTACCCAGACATAATGCTGGCAAAACTGGAGAAATCATGACCCATGACTCAAAGTGTTTCATGACCAGAAAAGCCATTTCCTCTGGCACCAGTTGCATACAACGTGGCCTTGCAGATTTGCTATTTATTTTGCAAATCAGATCATCTCACTTACCTACCCATCTCTCAGACTCATGATGACTGACCCATAGCCAGTGAGGTGCTGTTATATGGTTAAAAACTGGCTCTCTGGTGATGCTTGGAAGACTGTTAGTATATACCAGTTTTTGCAGTATAAATACTCCACCTTATTCCCCCAGTTTCAAGCTATCAATTTAATGTTACTGAATTCAGAGTCAAGAGATGCATAGCAGTGCCCTATTTAGTATTTCCAATGTAAAGATAAAACAGACATAAATAATGCCAACAGCAGAGCTAAAGGGGTAATGAGAAAAAATTAGAAATGAGTTTGATGTATTGTTTTTAATATCACTTTAATTTCTAGCTTATGACTTTTTTGATATTTAGTCATAGTCATCATTTTAAAGTGTCTGATTCATTGTTGCTAGTATATACATTCACTTGTGTAAACATCATTGCTATCTAATTTCAGGCCATTTTCATTGCTCCCAAAAGAAACTTGGTACTTGTTAGAACCCATTCCATATTCCCCTAATCCTATCCCCTGA